CAGAACAACCACCCAGTAAAGCATTACAATAATCTAACCTTGAGTTCATAAACGCATGGATTAACATTTCTGCATTTGACATTGAGAGAATAGGTCGTAATTTAGATATATTTTTGAGATGGAAAAATGTAGTTTTACAAATGCTAGAAACGTGGCTTTCTAACGAAATATTGCTATCAAATAGCACACCTAGGTTCCTAACTGATGACGAAGAATTGACAGAGCAGCCATCAGGTCTTAGAGAGTGTTCTAGGTTATTATATGCAGAGTTTTTAGGTCCTATAATTAACACCTCTGATTTTTCAGAATTTAGCAGTAAGAAATTACTCATCATCCAGTTTTTTATATCGACTATGCATTCCGCTAGTTTTTCAAATTGGTAGGTAAACACACACACCTGCCAATCGCAAGAGAAAAGCAAACAGAAAACGTGTTTTATTGTGATTATAAATTGAATACAGAGTTATATTGTTTCGTGGTTTGCATGGTTTATGTTATTGCTGACATATTTACAAGGAAATGCACAATCTGTTGAAACAAAAACCTTTTAATTTAATGTAGGTAAATTTCCGACTTAAAACATTTATTTTGATTCTTGAGTTGGAATTTGCAAAATGCAAAACTGGGACGCTTCATTCAGTGACGGGGCATTCGCTAAAACCAGCAGCGCATACTTACTTGCTGGCAACCCGCCAAAATAAAAGCTTGCTGATTTTAGGTTTGAAAATTTTGAAAATTCATATAATAAATAAAAAAGGAAAAAAGAAGAAAAAAAATGTAAATGTAAATATTAGCATTGTATTTTTTATGTGTACTATAAAATAATTGTATTTTTATTTAATACTCACTTTTTATTTTAAAATATAATAGTATTATCACACTTTATTTATTACTTTGTTTATTTTATTTAAAAAAAAAACTAAATAAAGTGCAATAATACTATTATTACTATTATTAATTATTTTAGTTTTTTTTTATAGTTATATTTAATGGGTCACACTATGTGCAGTGTGAGCACCAAACCAAATCTCCAGGTGTTTTCATTAGAACCAGACTGAAAAACTTATGTGCACCCCTATGTATACACACACACACACACACATATTGTCCCAGTTTAATAAAGATTAACAATAAACATTCTGTACATCATAAAAGTTTTCAGACTTTTCATTTATTATTCTGTTTCAACCCAATGTTTATGTATTGCATCTTTGACATGCCAGTTACAACAGTCATTTCAGCTCATCCTTCAGATGGTTAAAATGAACATGTTTACAGTAAATAGACTTATACTGGAGGCTTAGCAGGCGAATGGACCAGAGGGATTACAAGCAGGAATTACAAACTCATATTTTTCAGCACACGGTGGAAACCAATTGTCAGATAACAAATTGACTGCCTGTCCAGTGTCCACTAATCTTCAACATATTTTCATGAGCGAGCTATATAAACTGATCAGCCACAACATTAAAACCACTGACAGGTGAAGTGAATAACATTGGGTCACACTTTAGCTTGGGGACCAATTCTCAATAATTAGTAAGGTAGTTGTTACCTACCAACAGTGGTGCAAAAAAGGACAACCGATGAACCGGCATCAGGGTCTGTGCGCCCAAGGCTCATTGATGCCCGTGGGGAGCGAAGACTAGCCCATAAAGTCCGATCAAACAGAAGAGCAAATTGCTGAAAAACTTCATAGAAAGATGTCCGAACACACAGTGCATCACAGTTTGCTGTGTATGGGGTTGCATAGCCGCACAGTGCCCTTGATGACCCCCTGTCCACTGCTGAAAGCACCTACAATGGGCACGTGAGCATTAGAACTGGACCATGGAACCTGGTCTGATGAATCACATTTTCTTTTAGATGAGGTGGATGGCCGGGTGTGTGTGCATTGTTTAACTTGGGAAGAGATGGCAGCAGGATGCACATGTGAAGTACCTGCTTTAAATGTGAATACCTGAATGCTTTTAGAACTGAAAACATGACTTTGTTCCAAATGGTACACTTACTGTGACCATGCAGTCTTGCAGATTTAGTGTAGACTAGACCACAGAGTCCCTTTGGTCAGTTTTAGTTTCATGTGCGTACTCACAGGCACCCTTGTTTCACATTTCCAGACGTTGCATTCTGTAAGCGTACACAGTTTGTTTAGTACCTAGTCCTTGCGCTAGCATAATGCTGTCACCTTTTCTGGAATGTGAAGAGAGTGAAAAAAAAAACTAGAGAGAAGTCACTCCGCAGAGTGGCGTGATAGAAACAATTAGACTGTAAGTGAAGAGGACACTGCAGGAGAGAACGACAGCGCTCTGGTAATGAACTCCAGAGGCATGCGAGTAATGTGTTGCTAGTCGGCAAAGGAGTTGTGAAGTGTTGGAATAAAAATAGCTGACCGCATTTGAACACCCATTCCTTGGCCACACTTTGCAAGAAGATAGGGAGTGACTTGACACTTTATTATATCATTTATGTGATGACAGTGTAGTTGGTAAATATAGAACATCTGGTCACATTTTCCTGTCGGCCGTCCAGGCTCACATAAAAATAAGTGAAATAAGTGAAACACTGAAAATGTGGTGGCAAAATGTGGGCCTTTAGTAAACCATGTTTTTCTTTTCAGGGAGATGAGGAAAGCTTTACGCTCAAATCTTGCACCAGAAGGAAAACAGACTCCATCGAGAAAAGGTTCTGTTTTGACATTGAAGCCGTGGACCGGTGAGTTGAGTGTGTGCATACCTGCCACCAGATGGCGCTTTGGTCCTCGTAACATTCAGCGGGAGACACACTTCCTGGCTGCTGCTCAGGAAAGGGGGTGGAGATTTGAACTAGGTCTGCCAGGCATGAAGAGAGTGCACTGTAGACACTAGCTTCGACCTGTTAAAACTGTTGCAGTAACTAGGAGGGGAGAGATAAAGTGGCCATCTTATGGGTTTTAGGCAGAGGAAGGGAGCCGATTACTTTACACTTAACCAGGGACGCGGGAAGTAGGGGTGCTGAGGGGGCTGCAGCACCCCCTGTTTTCACATGGTTGCAAATGCAACGTCAAGTTTGTTCATTTAAATGTATTCAGTTTTAGCATTTGCTCTAAGCCCTGATGACACAGTGTTGTAATGCTGGGTTTACATCACGCTTTGCACATTGCAGCAAAAGAAAAAAAAAAGAAAAATTTGTCAATATTTTAGTCTTGATTCCCAGCAAAATGTGTCACATAATAAGAGTTATCGCCAGAGAATATATCTTAAATTAATATTGTTTCTTTCCCCACTACGATTCGAATTTTAAGCATAAACCTTACTAAATTCTGTTAAATTTGCATTTAAAACAAGTAGGATAAGAGAAATTATTTTAATCCAGGATATACATTGTTGGTCAAAAGTTTACCAAGACTGTGTTTATTCAAAAGTGATAGTAAAGACATTTATATTACAAAAGGTTTCTATTTCAAATAAATTATGTTCTTTTGAACTGTCTTTTCATCAAAGAATTAAAAAAAAAAGTATCACAGTTTAAAAAAACAAAACAGTTTTTAAGATTTATAATAATAAGACCCAATATTCATAACTGAGCTCAAATAATGATTGATAATAAACACCAAATCAGCTTATTAGAACGATTTCTGAAGGATCATGTGACACTAAAGTCTGATGTAATGGCTGCTGAAAATTCAGCTTTGCATCACAGGAATAAATTACATTTTAAAACATATTAAAACAGAACTTTATTTAAAAAGATGAAATAAAAAGTTATTTTAAATTGCAATAATATTTAAAAATATTACTGTTTACTGTATTTTTGATCAAACAAATGCAGCAAATACATTAAAAAGTCCTAATCAACACTTTTGACCAGTGGTGTATAATTTCAGAAAGTTTTAATTTATGTAGTTTTAGTTCTCTCTCTCTCTCTCTCTCTCTCTCTCTATATATATATATATATATATTTAAGTTTTAATTTTACTGAAAACAAGAAAAATCCGACTTTTATACACCTAATGCAAAGCAAATTTGCATGTGGTTTGAAATCCTTTTAAAAATTCTTCTTAATAAAAATTTAGCTGGATTTTCAGAAAATATGTCTCAGTATAAAGAGTCACATTCAGATTCAGGTGTTCTAAGTGGATATGTCAAAACATTATATATAATGTGCAGTACACTGAACATTATATATAGGGTTTTTACTTGTTTTCAGGTGAAAACATTTATACAAATATAAAAAAAGAAAATAATCACGTTTAGACAAAATAGTCATTAAGAATAGGGTAATGCTATGTAGTGTCTATAGCTGTGAGTGAATTCACTCATTTTACTTTGGCCATTTAGTGAGTGACAATTTCAGACACTGCATGCACATGAATGTGTATAACACATCAATGCCTGTGTGGCTTATGTTGCCTTATGATTCAGTGTCGATGTGTCATGATGAAGTTGGAAAAATATCTAGTTAACTATTCACAAATGTATTTTACACAAAACACATTGCAATTTTGCAATAGCCTCCTGCTTTTGCCCTCCACAGCAGCAGTGTACTACCACATTGTAAATCTATCGGGCTTTCCTGTGCACAAACTCAATTAAACAGGCCCAGTTTTATTACCATAACTCTTCCTGCCCTGGCATGGCCTAACCTTCAGTTGTCACGCAAGTTAATGGTGTGTGAGTGTGTGTACTACTGATTTACTGATAGAGCTGCCATACTGAAATATTAAAAGGTTTACCAACACACAGCATAGTAAACTGGCTCTTACATTGTTATATGCTAAATGTTACATGCTAGATATACCTATCTATAGGACTGACTGTCTGTACCGTCATTTTGCAAGTCATGAAATACTATACATTTGTTCAAATAACATCTTCATTATCTGGTATATCTACTTTTGTTAGCATGGTAATGACTTATGTGTGTTTCTTTAACTATGAATGCTTTTGCAATTCCGAAACAGAAGTACAATACACTTTAGCATACTTTTAAAAAAGGGTATTCATTATGGAAATACTATACTTTAAAATAAAACATTGTTTCCAAACACTTAATTGCATGTTATTTAGTTTAAAGGGGTCATATGATGCTGCTAAAAAGAACATTATTTTGTGTATTTGGTGTAATGAAATGTGTTTATGCGGTTTAAAGTTAAAAAAACACATTATTTTCCACATACTGTACATTATTGTTTCTCTTCTATGCCCCGCCTTTTTGAAACGCGTCGATTTTTACAAAGCTCATCGGTCTGAAAAAGCGAGGTGTGCTCTGATTGGCCAGCTATCCAATGCGTTGTGATTGGCCGAATACCTCAAGCCTGAGACGGAAATGTTACGCCCCTCACATACTGTTGATGCCGTGTCCGGCCGGAGCGACGAGCTGCTGAAAATTCAGCTTTGCATCACAGGAATAAATTACATTTTAAAACATATTAAAACAGAACTTTATTTAAAAAGATGAAATAAAAAGTTATTTTAAATTGCAATAATATTTAAAAATATTACTGTTTACTGTATTTTTGATCAAACAAATGCAGCAAATACATTAAAAAGTCCTAATCAACACTTTTGACCAGTGGTGTATAATTTCAGAAAGTTTTAATTTATGTAGTTTTAGTTCTCTCTCTCTCTCTCTCTCTCTCTCTCTATATATATATATATATTTAAGTTTTAATTTTACTGAAAACAAGAAAAATCCGACTTTTATACACCTAATGCAAAGCAAATTTGCATGTGGTTTGAAATCCTTTTAAAAATTCTTCTTAATAAAAATTTAGCTGGATTTTCAGAAAATATGTCTCAGTATAAAGAGTCACATTCAGATTCAGGTGTTCTAAGTGGATATGTCAAAACATTATATATAATGTGCAGTACACTGAACATTATATATAGGGTTTTTACTTGTTTTCAGGTGAAAACATTTATACAAATATAAAAAAAGAAAATAATCACGTTTAGACAAAATAGTCATTAAGAATAGGGTAATGCTATGTAGTGTCTATAGCTGTGAGTGAATTCACTCATTTTACTTTGGCCATTTAGTGAGTGACAATTTCAGACACTGCATGCACATGAATGTGTATAACACATCAATGCCTGTGTGGCTTATGTTGCCTTATGATTCAGTGTCGATGTGTCATGATGAAGTTGGAAAAATATCTAGTTAACTATTCACAAATGTATTTTACACAAAACACATTGCAATTTTGCAATAGCCTCCTGCTTTTGCCCTCCACAGCAGCAGTGTACTACCACATTGTAAATCTATCGGGCTTTCCTGTGCACAAACTCAATTAAACAGGCCCAGTTTTATTACCATAACTCTTCCTGCCCTGGCATGGCCTAACCTTCAGTTGTCACGCAAGTTAATGGTGTGTGAGTGTGTGTACTACTGATTTACTGATAGAGCTGCCATACTGAAATATTAAAAGGTTTACCAACACACAGCATAGTAAACTGGCTCTTACATTGTTATATGCTAAATGTTACATGCTAGATATACCTATCTATAGGACTGACTGTCTGTACCGTCATTTTGCAAGTCATGAAATACTATACATTTGTTCAAATAACATCTTCATTATCTGGTATATCTACTTTTGTTAGCATGGTAATGACTTATGTGTGTTTCTTTAACTATGAATGCTTTTGCAATTCCGAAACAGAAGTACAATACACTTTAGCATACTTTTAAAAAAGGGTATTCATTATGGAAATACTATACTTTAAAATAAAACATTGTTTCCAAACACTTAATTGCATGTTATTTAGTTTAAAGGGGTCATATGATGCTGCTAAAAAGAACATTATTTTGTGTATTTGGTGTAATGAAATGTGTTTATGCGGTTTAAAGTTAAAAAAACACATTATTTTCCACATACTGTACATTATTGTTTCTCTTCTATGCCCCGCCTTTTTGAAACGCGTCGATTTTTACAAAACTAATCGGTCTGAAAAGCGAGGTGTGCTCTGATTAGCCAGCTATCCAGTGCGTTGTGATTAGCCGAATACCTCAAGCGTGAGACGGAAATGTTACGCCCCTCACCATACTGTTGATGCCGTGTCCGGCCGGAGCGACGAGACAAAAACATGAAAACCCATTATAAACGAGGCATTTGTTGCATCCAATGGGGACATAATTACTGATTATAATGACTTATACTGTCGTTTTACGCGTTGCGTTGCATTGCGCCGCGTAAACATAAAACCATGTCTGCATTTGTGATCAGAGAAATGACAAACAACAAGTGCTAACGTTAATCCACACTGCCCAAAACTCGCGTTTGAATCATCAGTGGCAAATGATAAAAGAAAACGTACTTACGTGAGTCAGAACTGCCGGCATTTTAGTCTAACGTAACTCACCCAGGATCAGTAAACAGTCCTCCATAAAATGTGCCGGCAATCCACAGCACTAAGTTGATGTATTCCCTCAGCGACCAGCACAGATCAGATCTAGGCAAAGGAAAAAATGAAATCGCATCATATGACCCCTTTAAAGAGTTCATCAGTTGAACGTAATTGCTTTTAAGTTAAACCCAGTTCAAATTATAATCAAGTACTTTAGATGTGCTTTAATGTTCAACACATCAAAATAAGTGTACTTCTTTAAAACATGACAAAATATTATTAAAACACAATCATTTAAATTGTTCTTTAATTTACAACTTTTACATTGACATTATTACTTTTAGAAATGAACTCTTTAAGTGCGTTTTAAGTCCAAGTGGCACTTTATTAGTATTAGTATCATTAGTATTATATTATTTACAAGTACAGTTTTTTAACAGTCCACTACAAGTGAAAATTGAATACAATTAAGGGTGGCTTTGTAGATTTTACAAAAATAAATTGTCCTAGAACACAAATGCTCTCTAGTCTATTTATCTACTAAGAGTGTCCAACTGTAAATATACATGCATCACAGGAGAATTGTGTGTGTGTGTGTGTGTGTGTGTGTGTGCATGTTGACTGTACCGCTGTGTATGCTTGCACCTGGACGTGTGTGCATGTTTCAGGCCTGGCGTGATCACCATGCAGGCGCAGTCAGAGGAAGACCGCAGACTCTGGATGGAAGCCATGGACGGAAGAGAACCGGTACTTTATCTGAGAGATCGGAAATTTGTTTCGCTCTCAGATCTGATATCGTTCACTATAAGAGATTTTTACATGCTTGGCACTGCTGTGCATCAGATAAACTGTATTCTCATTTTGAATACATATTCATGAGACTTATTGCGTCTCATAAATATGCATGTTAAGGCCTTTAGCCTGTGTTGTTTTTGAATATGAATTCAGATATAGTGGTTTAGTTGAGTGTTGGCTTCATAATTGAATTTGTAATGTATTGTAGGAGGATTTAGGCTCTGTTCTATAATCTAGTGAGCTGCCTCGTTAGTATACTACCTACATAGACCGTTACCTTTAAGGGCAGCATGCTAATTGAATGGGACCTCATCAGCTACTGATGAAGGCAACAATTCAAATAGTGCTTATCACAAAAACATGCAGGACGCTCAACAAACATTTCAATAGAGTTTGCTGTTAGAATGCTGCTAAGCTAACAGCGCGTGGCTGTTCTCGGCATGAAAATTCATAGACCACACAAATATGTTGTTAAAGGGTTAGTTCACCCAAAAATGAAAATTAGCCCATAAATTACTCACCCTCAAGTCATCCTAGGCAGGGGCGTAGATTATGCGGGGGACGCGGGGGATGTGTCCCCCCCCACTTTTAATATCACGTAAATTCATCCCCCGCACTTTTTCGGGCAAGTGTGTTCGCATAGAGGCTTTCAAGAGCCGGTGTGAATAAATATAGATTTAAATTGAAAGAGACAGGATAGTCTGTGCATGATCTGATGTTTTATTCGGACCCAGAATAAGGCGAGATGAACATCACGGAGCGCTAAACACTCCGTGCAGTGTGTGTTTCATTCATACTCGAAGCCGGAGGCGCTCTCGCGCAGAAAGTCGTACGAGGAAATTCCTAAAAGC